AAACCAGCTGGTACAACAGAGGGCTCGGGCTGGCCAGGGCCCTCCCCTAGGCACCTGAGGGTGGACCCAGAGATGGCCTGAGCTGCGGTCAGAGCCGGGAGGCCGCCAGGAGGCCTTGTTCCTCCGGCTTTGCACTCTCGGGTCTAAGTCTACTTATGACGTGGCTTTGTGACAGCCCCTGTTCTGGCTGCAGCAGAGGGATTCAAGCTCAGGCAGAGGGGGGTGGCTGCCTGATGGCGTGGATGGTCTTCGTGTCTGGCTGGGTGGCCTTGGGCAAGCATAGTTCAGTTCCTACAGGTGTGAAAAGGGGGTGGGCCTTGGTCTCCAGGGCAACGGTAATCAGAGTACTCAGGACAGTGACCAGCGCCCGGGGACGCACCCTGCAAGGGCTGGCTATTGCAGCTGCTCCTGCTCCTCACTAGAATGGGCTGACAAATGACTTTCTGTGACAGTCTGTTCTCAGGCACCGACTCCCGTGGGCTCCAGCACAGGCTCTGTCTCTCCTGCCCCAGCCCCATGGCCCCACCCTGCTGGCTGCGCAGAGCCAGGAGCTCCCAGCAGGTGCCAGGTAGGCAGGGGGCAGGGAGGCCCTGCCTGGGAGGTATCAGCCCCAGCCCCGCCCCGGCCAGGGCTGCGAGCCCCATGCCTGCAGGTGGCCGAGGCTGGTGTCCCCTGGCAGGAGATGGCCCCCTCTGTCTTCTTAGGTGATGGCTACAGGCCATTCCTAGTCCAGGCACAGGGTCCCCCGAGAGCTCACAGTGCAGCTCTCACCCTCACTGTCCTACATGGTCGAGGTCCAGGCAGGTGCATGGAGGAGGAGGCCCACCGGAAGCTTCTCCCTGGGGGTTCCAGGCCTAATGACACCAATGTTGGGCACATGAGTCTGTGGGAACAGTCACCCGGCCGGGGTTCTCAGAGATCAGACAGCTGCAAGAGGCCCCCACGTGACAGTTTGGATAGGAGGTGTCCCCCCAAGCTCATGTGTAAATGCAGGGATGTTCTGAACGGAAATCACTAGGTTATGGGGCTGTGAGCTAATCAGGGGACTTGGCCATTTGATGGGTCAACAACTGAGAGCACTACCATGCTGGGCGGCAGCTGCAGGCAGGCAGGGTGCGTGGCTCAAGGAAGTCGGTGCCTGGGGGTGTGCCCTCGGGAATTAGAGATTTCTTTTTTTTTTTGTACCAGGGATTGAACCCAGGGCACTTAACCACTGAGCCCCATCCCCAGCCCTTTTTATTTTGAGACAGGGTCCTGCTCACTTGCTTAGGACCTTGCTAAATTATTGAGGCTAGCCTTGAACTTATGATCTTCCCCATCCTCCCGATCCGCCCCCCCCTTCAGCCTCCAGAGTCACTAGAACTACAGGCTGGGCCGACTCCCTGTGGGAGTACACTCCTGCCCCTGGCTCCTTGTGGGACTTTCTCCGCTCTCCAGCTGCCWGGAGGTGAGCAGCTCCCCCCGCACACCTTCCACTATGACTTTCTGCCCCGCCTCAGACCAGAGCAACGGAGTTGGCCCATGGTGGAATTTGCCTTGGAAACATGAGCCCTAAATAAACATTTCCTCCTCTTAAATTGTTCTTGCTATGCCTTTTAGTCACAGAGATGCACAGGTGACTGACACACCCTGGATTTGGTGTCAGTCAGGACCGAGGGCAAATTGTGGATCGGCCAGGTGTCTGCAGGGCTCTCTGAGCCTTGATCTCTTTGTCCATAAAATGGGGAGAGTGCCCACCTTGAAGGGAGGGGGGAGACAGCAGCAGCAGGAGGAGTAATGAGTACAGCGGTGAGTAAAGATGATCATCCGCTGGGTGGGGTGGTGCATAGTAACCCAGGAGGCTGAGGCAGGAGGATTGGAAGTTTGAGGCCAGCCTCAGCATCTTAGTAAGACCTGGCTTCACACACACAAAAGGGCTGGGGATGAGGCTCAGTGGCAGAACGCCCCTGGGTTCAACCCCTGGTACCCAAACAAAAGAAAGRTCCTCCTGGTGGCCGACATGCATGGAGCATCTGCCCCGGGCCAGGCCTGCTTGGATCCTCATCATCTCTTCACCTTCAAAACTGCCCAGGGGGGTCTCGTGGCAGGCCGCGAGGAGGGTGGGATACAAGTGCTGGTCTCAAAGGTGTGGGCCAGGGGTAGGGGAGCCACCGGGGGGTCTGGCCTGGAGAGCCCTGTCCACACAGCTGGCTCCGTGGAGATGAAGGGGCGGAGAGAAGGTCCAGGCCAGGCCTGGCAGAGAGCGGCTGGAGAAGCTGCCCGGGCCGGGAAGGGCCCACTCTGAGGAGGGACGGGAGGAGGGACAGCACCCGCTTCACGGGAGGTGGCACAGATTCGCGAGTTGATGAGTGTCCAGCACTTAGTGACCTGTGGTCAGTGACCTGTGGTGACTCGGAAGGGAGGAAGCCAGGTGTGGTGGACGGAAGAGGAGCCCTCACCACGGGGTCCCCATCCCAGTCCCCACAACCTGCGAAGACACCAGCTGACAAGGCCCAGGGCACTTTGCCTTGAGATGGGCCCAGTGTGATCCCAGGGYCCTTGTAAGGGGAAGGCAGGGAGGCCAGAGCCAGAGAGGGAGAGGTGACCAGGGAAGGGAGGTCAGAGAAGATGCGAGAAGGACCCCACCTGCCATCCTGACCCTGTGGGAAAGGACAGAGCCCAGGCACCACCTGCCACCCTGACTGGAGCCCGGCGAAACCCAGGTCGGGTTCTGACCTGGAGAGGAATGGAAAAGTCAATTCACTTTAATTTGCTTTCAGCCACCAAATTTGTAAGAGTGTGTCGCAGCAGCTCTTGTTGGGCCTACCACTGGCTGAAGCCCCCTGGAGGACACTGGACACAGGAGCCCAGTGTTAAAGTACACACAGGACACCTGTGGTCTCAGTGATTCAGGAGGCGGAAGCAGGAGGATTGCAAGCATGAGGCCAGCCTCAGCAACTTAGGGAGGCCCTAAGCAACTTAGTGAGACCCTGACTCAAAAGAAAAAGGGCTGAGGATGTGGATCAGTCTTAAAGCGCCCCTGGGTTCAATCCCCAGGACTTTGTCACACACACACAAAATACACACAGGTCTGGGCAGAGAGCAGGGTGAAGAAGACAGGTTAACTGCATTGATATCAGCTATAAAATTATGATCCCCCTAACCTCTCTGAGGCACAGAGAGGTTAGGAAACTCATCCAAGGCCACACAGCTAGTCAATGCAGAGCTGGCAGTCACAAAGGGTAAATGATATCAGCAAAGGCCGAGCACCCCTGACCCCATAATCTGAAATTCGAAAAAAGTTCCAAATGCAACATCCCCCCGCCCCATGATAAAATTTAGCGTCAGAGAAGCTTCGACTAGAGTAACTAGGAAACGTGTTCACGGAGTGCATGAAAAGGCACTGGCCAAAGCCACACTCAGCTTCCAGGATGACCCGGGCCGGTGACAGAGCTGCCAGCTACAGCTCTGTTAGGTACAATGACACAAGTAGAGAATCCCACCCTGACCTTGTATGATGATCCTGGTCAAAACATAGGTGCACTGAAAATATCGTTCAAGTTACCTTTGGGCTCTGTGTATCAGGAATATGGGAAACAAAAATGCATCCAGTGTTCAGACCAGGGCATAATCCCCGAGATGACTCATTAGAGGGCATAATCCCTGAGATGACTCATTATGTATACAAATATTCCCAAGTCTGGAGAGCCCTGGTCCCAGCACAACCTGTCCTGTGAATTGAGCAATTGACTCTGCACTGGATCTGAGGTAAAGCACTTGGTGTGTCCCATACCAATCGTTCTTACGAAATGGAGACTAGGACTCAGAGAGGTTGTTACCTGCCCAAGTCACACAGCTAGGGAGGAGTCTAGGTGGCCCAGGGTGTGGATGTGTCTGAGGTCAAATTCCACCAGAGTGAACCMGGGCCATGCTGCTTCCTGCGGTCAAGGGCACGGGGCCTGCGGCCACTGGCAGGAGCTCAACAGGCAAATGGTAGTGGTCATGAGGGTCTTGGGGAAGCAAGGTGGGCACCTCAGGGCCACTGTTTGTCTCCTGACTTTCCTTCCCGTGGGTTTTTGATGTTTAAGTGTCTTAAGCTTCCCGTCACTGGCTTTGGCCTCCGAGTTGTGGCTTCATCTCAGAAAACCTCAGTGGCTTGGGGTTTGGCTCACCCAGATCAATACCCAGCAGGGAGCGGAGACACAGGCTCGAGGCTGACCCCCGCTATGGGCTGGGTCCATTGTCACTCAGACGGATGGTCGAGTCTGACCTGCTCTCTGCCAAGCAATGTCTGGGACAGATTCTGAGCTTTCTGAACTGGAGAGATGGCTTTTTTTTTTTTTTTTTTTTTACGAAAAGGGAAGCCGGGCACTGGAGAGATGCTTTAGTCTGCCTGCCTCTGTCCAGGGTCCCTTTGGGTCATCTTAGAGTCACTGGGAATCACGGTATCCCACGGTGGCATTTTGCCTAGGCCTTCTCAGTCCTCAGAACTTCAATGGCTGTTTGCCAAGACCTCTCTGCCCAGTGCCCGCCTGTAGCCCAGGCCACGGCAAAGCCTCACGGCTGCCTCCACTCGTCCTGGGTCCACAGCAGACATCACCAATCGAACACAGAGCCCTTCTTTTTGAGCCTCAGCCCCCTTAACAAAATGAGGCCCTGGAAGACAGACAGTCAAAGCCCACCAGGCCACCCTTCCCTGGGAGGAGCAGGACACAGGACCCAGGACACAGGACACAGCAACATCCCCCCACCCCACGATGAAATTTAGCGTCAGAGAAGCTTCAACTAGAGCAACTAGGAAACGTCTTCACAGAGTGCGTGAGAAGGCGTTGGCCAAAGCCACGCTCAGCTTTCAGGATGGCCCCGGGCYGGTGACAGAGCTGCCAGCTCAGGCTCTGTGCACTTGACAAGCTGACCTTGGCYCTGCTCTTGGCCGATTCTTTCCTCCTCTAAAAGGTGCTCAGGATCCCCCGCGTGATCCATGTGGCTGGGGGTGGCGGGTGGCCGCAGCCAGGACCTACCTTGGACTTGACCGCCAGGATGATCTTGGGCAGGGCCACGACGAGGCACTTGAGGGCRATGGTGATGTACTTCAGCACAAAGTCTGCGATCCCCACGATCCACAGCAGGTCGAAGAAGTCCAGCGTCTCCAGGTTGGGCTTCAGGAAGATGAGGCTGGGGAGAATTCACAGAGCCAAGTTGTTTACCCAGGGCCCATCCCTTGGCAGTTCTGCCTGCTCACCCGGGAGCCTTGGAAATATTACCTACAGAAACAGCACTGACCTCTGTGTCCCATTCCTGAGTYTGCTACAAACCTGCTGTGTGACCTCAGGTGGGTCTTTTAACTTCTCTGGGCCTCAGTTCCCTTGAGGGTTACAAGGAGAGATGGGCATCATTAARGTCCCCTCCAGTTTTATGGGTCCACAAGAATCTTGACAAAAGTGGGCAAAGGAAGGAAGAAGGGGAGAAGAAGTCATGCCAACGGTGCAGAGGATGCAGGGGGACTGCTGGGTAGGTACTGGGCTACACCCTTCACTCAGTGTATCTCATTAAATCTCCCTCTCCAGTAGGCACAGCTAACCTCTATAAAAAGGACTGAAGCTTGGAGACGTTAGTATCCAACAGACTTGAATTTGAACTCTGGCTTCTCCATTTGCTGAATCCTGGGTAAGTACAGTTTTCTCTGCAAACCCGAGTGTGCACATCAATCCAATGGGAATCACACCCTCCCTGACGGTGTTCCTGACAGGCCTTGGGGATCACAGACACACTGCAGACCCTGCCAGGCTGTGGTGACAATGGTAACAGCAATTCCAGGAGGCAGGTGCGTTTATCCAACCCTCTTTGCAGATGAGAAAACTGAGGCACAGAATGGCAAATCAGCACAAGGTGGTACAGGTACTAAGGGATGGAGGCAGATGAGGTGCAGGCTTCCTGGGTTAACGCTCTCCCAATCCTTAGTATGCACAGGGCAAACCCATTTTATCTATCCGCAGCCAGCCACGTTAGACCTCATGCTCCATATCTGTTCTCAACTCTTGGAGACATACAACAAGCAGGGTTCAAGTTGGCAGCTGTCCATGGACCACACTCTGAGYAGCACCGCTCTCATCACCCCTGAGGATGAAGGTGTTATTCATAATTATGCGAACAGTAGTCGTAAAATACCTTGGCTTCTCACTTCATGCCGGGCCTGTTCTGCGGGCTTTCTGCGTCTCAGCTCTCCTTCCTTCCCACTGGATTAGAGGCTCAGAGCCAAGGCCAGGATGGGTCCTGTCGGTCTCCCAAACGCTTTGGAAATACCTTTCTGTCCCAGCAGACAAGGGCAGGGAACGAAGCCTCTTTTTTCAAGTATCCTAGGAACAGATCCACCTGGTTTTCCCCTTTCTCTTTAAGCAGCTAGAGTAGGGAAAATCCAAGAGGACCCTCTATGGTGGCAACCGCTCCCCACACCTGTGGTGTTGTCCACATCCCAGTCTSTCTCCCTGGGACCCCTCGTCTCCAAGTTCAAGTGGACACCCACGTCGTAACACAGGAAGAGGACTGGGGCCTGCGCTCCCCTCTCTGGCTCCACTTGGTTCCTTCCTGGGGATCCCAAACTGGCTGGCTGATTGCTACACTCTGCAAATTTTTTTGTGTGAATCAGACTGTAATATAACAAGGTTCGGTCTCAAGCTTTCCATTTCATCTCAAAGACACCAGTTGGCGTTTGACTCACTTGCCTGGGTTTTACCCCATCATCTTGGTGCTTTTCCTTTTTTTTTTTTTTTTTTTTTTGTGGTGGGGGTGGAGAGGGGGAAGTGGCGCATTTCCCCACAGAGAGTTCACTTGTGTCTAAAATGCTCCAGGAACTTTTAACGGGCTGACAGATTGATGGTCAGTTTTGCTCACTGGACGCCATCATCCATAATTATAGTAATTAACCCTAAAATAATATGATATGACTATATGTCAACGACTTTATAGTTCACCCAGTTCCTTCATGTATTTTCCGACACCTGGCCTTGCTACGGAGCCTGCTCAGGTGGATCAGGAAGAACTAACTCGGCCCTGGTTTCTCAGGTGAGGAGAGGTTCTCGGACTTGCCAAGGGGCAGAATGATGGCAAGGGGTAGAATTAAGGTTCCCGGAGGTTGGTCATCAGAGTTCAAATCCTGGGAGGATCCAAGGTCACTCCTAAGTGCTGTCTCTGGGGCTGAGGCTCCTTAGTAAGGTGCTGTGATCTGAATGTGGTTTGTGCCCCCAAAGTTTACGTTGGAGGTCTTGGTGCTCAGTGGGTGATGAGACAGGTGGTGGGGCCTTTAAAAGGCAGGACCTAGTGGGAAGCCAATATTGGTCCTTCTTCTTTTTAGCTTCTGGTCTCCAAGTTCATCTGGCCCCAGGTCCTCACCAGAGGCATGCCAACATCAGTGCCTTGCCCTTGAACTTCTAGAACTGTGAGTTAGATAAACCTCATTTCCTCATAAAGCACCCAACCTTGGGTGTTTTCTTATAGTAACAGATAACCATTCTCATCCTTCTGGATCTAAAGCCTTGGTTTCCTCACTTGTGAAGGGAGGATATGGCATTACCCTGCTGGGTCACTGGGAGGGCTAAATAAGATAATGGCTGTTGGCAGCACTTACGTGCACACTGTAGAGAGGTGGCATCTGARAGGACAAGGACTGAGCTCTGTTGCTTTTCTCTTAAGCCACTCTCTCTCTTGCTCTTTCTATGCTGCCAGTTTGACTCAGCCCTGGTTTGATGGGGCCACCGAGGTCTGAGCCTGGGAATATGATCATGCCCARAAAATGGCATGAGTGGGAAATTCCTCCAAGCTTCTGGGAAACTCCACCCCCTCTACCCTCCACCAGGACTGGAGATTCTGGACCACKTGACGAAGGCAGGGGGTGAGATGTGTGTTGATGTCTTGGGATGAACTCCAAGGGCTGCTCTTATAGGGTGGCCTCAGGAAGTGTCCAAACTACTGACTCCTCAAAGTCCATTTTCAAAACAGGGGGACGTGATCTGCAAGCCTAACTTGTTTCAACCTCCCTTCCCCCACCCTCCAYGAGACAGACTTCCCTCCGTCCTGGCAGCCCTCAGTTCCGCACAGAGCGGGAACATTCTGGTAACATATTCTTAACACTGTTTCAAACACTTTTTCTAAAATGAAGGGGAGTGTTCCATTGACAAGGTTGTTCCTTTTTTTTGGGGGGGGGGTGGATACTGGTATTTGAACTCAGGGACACTCAACCACTGAGCCACATCCCCAGCCCTGTTCTGTATTTTATTTAGAGACAGGGTCTCACTGAGTTGCTTACCGCCTCGCTTTTGCTGAGGCTGGCTTTGAACACATGATCCTCCTGCCTCAGCCTCCAGAGCTCCTGGGATTACAGGTATGTGCCACTGCGCCTGGCTCAGGGTTGTTCTTTAATCTTAATTAATTCTTTGTGGTTAAAATACCTCATCTTATGAAATGATGCAGGTGGTAGATGATCTTTTTTTCCTAACCGGTAAAACACACATCATAAAATTTGCCTCGGCCATCGTTATGAATACAAGATGCTCACACTGTTGACAACTCACTCCCAACTAGTGCCAGGGTTCCGCATCCTGCAGAACTGGAACCCACACCCATCAGACAACAGCTCCCACTCCCCTTCCCTTGGAAACCACCCTGCGACTGTCTGCACGTATGAATTTAACTATTGTAGGTACCTTGCATCAGTAGAATCGTGCAGTGTGTTTGTGTGTGTGTGTGAGAGTGTGTGTGTGTGTGACTAGCTTATTCCAATTTAGGAAATATCCACAAGGTTCATCCATGCTGTCACCTGTGTCCAAATTTCCACCTTTTTTCTTTTTTTCGAGGCTGAGTAATATTCCAATACATGGACAGAGCACATTCYATCCATTCATCTGCCAGTGGACACTTGGGTTCCTTCTACCTTTTGTCTTCTATATGATGATCATTTTGAAATGTGTTTTTAATTGCAAAAAGCAAGCTGCTGTCTACATGGTGGACTTCTGAATTTTGGCTGAGGGATGCTTCACTGGTTTGGGAAATCTCCAGGTCTGAGGTTTATAAAATCTTGTGGGTGGTGTAGTCTGTGGTTCGGCTCCCCCCTCGGGTTCTCCCACCAACAGTTCTCAGATTCTGCAAAGTTGCGTCTGTGGCATCTGAGCACGTGACCCTCCATTCTGAGATGMAGTCACCACTGCCATCCTCAAGGAAGCCATCTGGTCCTTGGTGACCTGGCCCTTCTGGCCACAGGTGCTTGGGCAGGGCTGGACCCCTAGCCCATGAAGAGCCAGTCAGGTGCTCTCCTCTTTCTTGAATTTTAAGGGAGCCAGTGAGAGGCTTAATCATGCCAAGAGCTGACATCAAAACCAATGTCCACGATTTCTGGCTCATGGGTTCCAGGAATTTCTCTGGTTCCTGCCGCCTAAGGCCTGGTTGTTCAGCTTTCCTAGGATTGAGCGAGCCCCTCTCTGGAGCAAAGCCTGACATGACAGCATCCCAAAGGGCTGGAGTTGGTAACTTTTCTCAGTTCAGGCCGAGCATCCCTGATCTCCAAACTTGAAATGCGTAATGCTCTAAAATCCGAAGCTCTTTGAGCATTGTGATTTTGGAGTGTTTTGGGCTTAGGATGATTTTCAGATTGGTAATGCTCTGTGGGTAAAGTCTACACAAGTGCTCCAAAATCTGAAAAACTCCCAAGTCTGAAACACTTCTGGTCCTTTTGGATAAGGGATCTTCTGTATAGTCCTGAGAACTGGCACCGGAAGTAACAATAAAGGCAACTTGTGGATTTAAAGTGAAAAGGTGGYAAATGAAAGAGAAAGTGTCATGAAGTGGCAAGCTCTGCATGTCACCTCCTCTAACAGGTACACACACATCTGCAGAGAAACATGTTAACCTGGTGGCAGTTTGGTGACAAGAATAGAGGCAATTTTGGCCTTTTAAAAAATGTATCTTCTAACATTTCACCATTTAAAATAAATTACCTTCAAAGTCAGAAAAATAAATTACTTTTAAAAGCCTGAGCTGGGTGAGGTGGTGCACATCTGTAATCCCAGGTATGTGGCAGGCTGGGGCAGGAGGACCACCAGTTTGAGGCCAGCCTGGGCAACTCARTGAGACCCTGTCTTAATAGGGCTGGGGGTGTGGCTCAGTGGTTAAGCRCCCTGGGTTCAATTCCTGGCACCAAAAAATAAAATAAATAGATAAATAAATAAAAGGACAGGGGTTGGGGAGCGGATCAGTGGTAGAACACTCGTCTAGCATGTGCAAAGTCCTGGGTTCAATCCCTAGTCATGCAAAAAATAAAAATAAAAATAAACAAATAAAAATTTAAAAAAAGAGTTACTCATTTATTTATTTGAAAAAAATAATGAAACAACTATGGACATTGTACAAGGTACCTGGGAAAGTGCCTCGCTACCAGGAAACAGGAGGTGGCTGGCAGCCCCGAAACACTCAGGAACAAGTTCTGACAGTGTGACGGGCTCTGGGAGTGGGGTGCTGCCCGCCTGGACCTGCTGGAGCTCTGGCGAAGCTCACTGGCTTCAGAGCACTTCCAGGGGCTTGGTTGCCAAGGTGATAGGATATTTTTAAGGCAGCTGATGACCAATCAGGGCCAAGCAGTCCATTCTGTGTCTGTGGCTGAGCCTCCCACCTGCCACSGTGTTGCCCAGGACTCTGAGTCAAAAAGTCACATGAGAACAGAGTTCCCAGGTCATGTGACGTGTGTCTAGGATAGGGGACCCTTGTTCCWGCCCAGATGAAACCAGAGAGGATAGATATTTTATCTCTTAAGAATTACAAAAGCACTGCTATTATTACAAAAAAGTCTGTCCCTTACAAAAACATTACAAAATACGGACAATACAATAAAGCATTACCATTACCCACACATTTAACCTCCGGAGGGCCATGGCTAATATTTTAGGTCGGGYGCACAATTTTGCTATGAAAGAATCATGACCTGTCATCCCAGCTACTCAGGAGGCWGAGGCAAGAGGATCTCAAGTTCAAGGTCATCCTGGGCAACTTAGTGAGACCCTGATTTGAAATAAAATATAAAGGATTAGGGGCATAGCCTAGCATGCTAAAAAGGCTCTGRCTTCAATACCCGGCACTGGAAAAAAATATTTTAAATATTTTCAGTTTTGTCTGCTATATGGTCTTTGTTCGACTCTGTTAGCCAAAAGCATTCATACATCACATGTACGTGCATGAATGGATGGGGTGCAGCTGAGTTCCAATTAAATGTCATTAATTAAAAATACATGGATGGCTGGAGTTTGCCAACCCTGCTTTAGCATGTATCTCTAGATTTTTAAAAAAATRTACATATAGGGGCTGGGGTTGTGGGTCAGCAGTGGAGCACTCAGCTAGCATGTGTAAGACCCTGGGTTCGATCCTCAGCACCACATAAAAATAAATAAAATAAAGGTATTGTATTCAATTACAACTAAAAAATAAAATATTTTTTAAAAAATGTATACATATAAGTACAACAAAATACCTTTAAAAAGTTGCTACATTCACAGAGAAGAAAAAAAAATCAAGTAATACAAACAGCTAAACAGTTCCAAYCAAGTTTCTGATCTGCAGTGCCCACCCCAGAGGCAATGCTGCATCTAGTGTCTCGTGTGTCTTTCTGGAAATATCTAGACCTGCACTGTCCACACRCTGACCATTCTGAACACTAGAAATGTGGTCAGTTGGTAGGAACATGAGCTGTATGTGTAAGATGCCAARTTACCAATAATGCAGAAAAAAATGAATGTACAATATCTCAAAGAGTTTTTATCTTGATTGCATGTTGAAATGATAGCATTTCCAATACTGAGTTGTCCCTCAGTGTCCTTGAGGAATTGATTCCAGGATCTTCTACGGACACCAAAATCCAAAACGCTCAGGTCTCACAGTGAAAATGGCACCGTATTTGCATGTAACTTATCACATCCTCCTGTATGCTTGAAACCAACTCTAGATGACTTATAATATCCAATAGTAYAATGTCAATGCTGCGTGAACAGTGCTCTACTCTATTGGTAAGGGAATAATACAGGAAGCAAAGTCTGTGCATGGTTAGTGCCGATGCAATCAGCAGCAGCAGCAGCAGCATCATTATTATTATTATTGGTAACAGGGATTAAACTCTGGGGCACTAAACCATGGAGCCACATTTCCAGCCCAATATTGAATTTTATTAGAGACAGGGTCTCACTGAGTTGTTGGTGCCTCGCTTTGAACTTGCCATCCTCCTGCCTCAGCCTCCTGAGCCGTTGGGATTATAGGCAGGCGCACCACCACACTCAGCATCAGATACAATTGTTTTTTCTGACAACTCYCACCTGAGGTTGGCTGAATTCTCAGATGTGGAGGCCGATTGTACTGGGTTAAATAAAATCTATTAGTAAAATTAGTTGTCTTTTTCTTTTTTATTATTTTTCTTCATGTGRCAGTTGGAAAATGTAAAGTTGTATGTGGGGCTTGTGTTATATTTCTGCTAGGGTACCTAGGCGCCAGTGTGTAGCAACAGACTGGAGTCCAAGAGCTGAGCCATGGCACAGAGCTGGTGTGTCCTTCTCAAGTGCTGGRGTGCRGGCCCCAAACCCAGCCAAGCCCCCYGACTCTTCCACTAGAAGGGTCTCCCCCTCTCACCTGTTGTACAGCTGCTGGGAGCTGAATGTGTACAGCACACACAGGGTGTTCCCTGCCAGGAAGGCCAAGATCCACAGGATGACCAGCACTGACCTCTTCTCCTGGAGACAAAGCAAGAGATCTGTGGGGATGCTGCARTGACCAAGGCACACCTAGCGGAACATTCTGGAATGTTCCCCCATGAGTGGAAACCTCACGGTCTCACAGTTTTGGAGGAAGCAGGGCTGATGGGAAAGGGAAAGGGCACCAGCATCTTTCCATCTCACTGGGACCCAAGGAGTAGGCACAGAGAAGGTGACACAGTAGTGCCCACCTGATTGGAGAACCAGCTGAAGAGGGGAGGAGCTTGCGGCAGAGACCCTGGAGCTAGATGGCCGGGGTCGAATCTGTGGTGGGCTACCTGGGAGCCATGATGTTCTTATCTCAGGCCCAGAGCATGGCGCTGGCCGACCATGGACTGAACCCGTGAAACCAGGAGTCCAAAATAAACGTCTCCTCGTCTTGTAATTTGGTCACAGCAAAGAAGAGCTGACACGCCATCGGACCCTGGGCCAGCTGCTGATCTCTGCACCTTCCTTTCCTCATCCGTTCAGCAAGTGCTTGTTAGGACCTACCTTGCGGAGTCACACAGGCTTAGAAGAGCACCTGGTGGCAGTGTTAGGTGACACTTAGGGTAGAACTGGGCACAAGGCTCAAGGGCACACGTTAAAGCCCAGGTGTCACCATGTGAAGAGGGTCCTGCCATTAGGGATGAAGTCACACTTAACGTGTAAGCGGTCATCCTGGTGTGGACTCGTGTCTGGCTCGCTAAGGGGCAGGGCCTCTGACAGAAACCCCACAACCGGGGAGTGGATTCAGAGTGAGGTGGTGGAGACTTCTGCTCCCACTTTTTGTCGCACAGACCTCTGGGCTCCCTGTTGGCCAGCAGTTCAATGTGGGGCCGCACTCCTAGGACGGGGTTCACACTCATAAACACGGCTGTCACAGCCTTTCACGGTCCCTGTTGGGTCCCCAGGAAGAAAAACTGAAAACCTTCTCAGTTTTCTGTTTCCTGGCAGCTTCAGGGCCTGAAGGGAAGAAGCAATCCTGCGAGATGCCCCTCAGAGGAGGCACGGAGACCCGGGAGACGCCAGCAGACCCCTCTGCTCGGATTCCCAAAAGCTGCTCTTCTTCCTGGCCGGGGCGGCTCCGTTGCTGGAACAGGATGAGGTCATAACTTTCCCAGTGTGACCGTCCCTGTGGTTTCGGTAAATGCTCAAGACACGCTGTCTGCAGACGGCCCAGCACCCGCTCCCTGCTGCAGCACACGTTTCCAGAGGGTGGACCCAACAAATGCATCTCCATCCACCCATTATTCTGGGAGCGGTCAAGGTTAACGACTACAGAAACCACCTCCAACCGGCCGACTCCTGGCTGTGGGATGGATCCACTCGGCAGCTCCCTTTTTCCTCAATAAATAATAGATCCTGGTTGAATTCCCTGTAAATCTAAACCAGCAATGGAACAGAAGGAGGACTCGGCAAGGCCCTGGGAAAACAGTGCACAGGACAGGGATGGTCCCTAGTAATGAGCTGGGCTTTGTAAGTGCACTGAGCGTCACGCACACCGGCCAAACATCACTTGTGTCTTCACGGGGCTTAGGGACCCTGGAGGTTTGTCTATGAATCCAGACCTCCTTTCAGCCCCTAAAATTCAAGTCAAGGCACCACAAGGATGTTACGTGACAGGACCCACTCCCCAAAGCCTCCCTCTGTGGGGTTAAGTCAACCAGCTGTTCTAACAGCAGCAGAAAGGGGCTTACATGAAGATGAGACAAAAGGTCAAGAAGGACCTCTGGTTACCCCAGCTCTGGACTTCAACGTGTTCATGTACAAATGGAGACAGAGCTGCCCTCCAGGCTGCAAGGATCTCCAAGTGCTTTGGTGAAAGCAWAAGATGCTGTGGAAGGGTCAGAGAAGATGGCTTTGGTTACGGGACTGCCTGTGCCACAGAAAGCACACGTTTTACAAAAGAGCTCAAATGAAGGCTTCCTGTGTGTGTGGGTGCTGTGCTGAACTACTTCTCTGCAGTATCTCATTGAATCCTCTAAATGCAGAATCTTATTTAGCCTTCTCGATGGATCTGTGAATTGGGGTGAATACAGGTAGGTGCTTCTTGACTTACGATGGGGCTCTGTCCCCAAAGACCCACTCTAAGTTGAAAACAGCATTAAGTCCAAAACGCCCTGACTTCACCCAAYTTGCCCAATACCACRCTCAGCAGCACAGCGTGGCACCTAGACAGCCGATGCTTCCCCTGGAGATTGCCAGCCGATTGCGAGCTGCGGCTTGTGGAGCTGCCCAGAATCACAGAAGGATCACACCAAATATCACTCGCCCAGGAAAAGACCCAGAGTGAAAATTTGGAGTGGGTTTCTAATGAAAGCATATTGCTTTCTCACTATTGTAAAGATGAAAAACAATGAAGTCAGACTGTCATAAGTCGGGGACCATCTATAAACCTTATCCAGAGGTGAAGGCTGAGGCTGAGATCGCCAGGAATATCTGGCTGAGGGGCTGCAGGTGGTGAAGGAGTTGGATTTGAACTCAGAATAAGCACAGGCTCTGGGCTGAACTGCCTGGGTTCAAATCCCAGTTCCCACTTGCCCTGCTGTGTGACCTCGGGGTTAGTGTCTCTGAGCCACTGTTTCCTCACTGGGGAAATGAGTAAGAATGATTTTTTTCTTTCCCTCTCCTTATCAGGTCACAGGGAAAAGGTTGGCAGGGCGAAGGCTGGCATGTGTGGGATCTGCCCGGTGGCGGCAGGCAGCATACCCTGCCGAGGAGGGCCACTGACCCCTGGCAGCTGTGAATAAGTTAGGGGACAGGTGGGGGAATTTGGGCTGCAGGTGGAGTTGAAGTTGTCAGCTGGGCCTCAGGTGGGAACAGTCACCTGGATTATCCAGGTGGGCCCCGAGTAACCMCAAGGGACCTCACAAGTGGAGAGGATGACCCAGAGGAGGGCTGGAGGGAGGTGCCACACTGCTTGAAGGGCCACAGGTGACTGTGGAGTTGCAAAAGGTGAGGAGGTGCCCCAGGGACTGCAGACGGAGCATGGCCTGGGGGCAGCGGGACTGTCACTGAGAGACCACGGTGGACTTCACGTGCCGAGGTGAGGGCCATGCACCATCCTGCTCTAAGCCACTCAGGGTGTGGACAGCATGACGCAGCCACAGGAGGCCCCCCCCCCCCGTGACTCACCTTCAGAGAGACCTGTTCCCGCAGCGTGGAGTTGGCGTAGGCGAAGGTGCTGGCCATCCCGATGCACACGGCGATGCCTGCGGTAGAGGGTCCCGCACCCACTTAGTCTCACKGGGCCCAGCGATGTTAGAAAAAGACCTGCCCCTGAGCCGGCAGGTGAACCACAGAAAGGGGTGGGATGTGACTCACGGGGAGCCTCGAGCCACCGTGACAGGGACAGCGTTAGGCCACGGGAAGGGGAATATTTAGCACTAGATCAGGAGCATGGGCTGTGCCATCTAGCAAGACTAGAAACACAATCCTTGCTTTGCCATCTCTACTGTGTGAGCCTGGGCAAGTCACTGCACCTCTCTGAGCCCCAGTTCCATCATCTACAAACTGGACAGAATAATAATAGTGCTCACCTCCCAGAGGGATCGGCTTATGGAAGATCACCTCCAGCCCTTAGGAAATAGCACCCATTATTCTTTCTACTGTCAAAACCAATCTGTGGATGTATGCTTTTATTTCAAGCACACATGAAATAAAAGCATACATCCACAGACAAAGCCCAGGAAATCACAGGAATTAAAACAACACTAAAGGGGGGAAATTCTCAGCTAAGAGGTAACCGTGACCCAGGTGGATGGGAGAACGGTTGAATTGGATTCCACAGCTGCCGYGGTGCCCAGCCGGCATCTCGGGACACTCCCTGCATGATGACTTCCATCCTACCAACTGTAAGCAGAATTCGCTTCGCACCTGGGCTTGGGGGCCACCTGCTTTTTCATTAGTGTGTGGACACCAGGCCTTCTCCCACAGCCACTCCGGAAAAGGGGTTTATCGTTYTTCACTGGAAACATAAAACAACTAGTAACCCTATTGTTCTTTTTTCCAATTTCCTTTTTGATGAAAAACAAAGCACAAACAAAACCAAAATACACTTATTGAAAAAKAAACATACTCAAGAAGAAAACTTAGCCATGAGTCTGCCAGAATTTGGGGTGACTTGTTTTGTTTTTCGTTATTGTTGTTTGTTTTTGTACCAGGGATTGAACCCAGGGTGCTTAACCACTGAGCCACATCCCCAGCCCTTTGTATGTTGTATTTAGAGACAGGGTCTGACAGGGTCGCTTAGGGCCTCACTGAGTGGCTGAGGCTGGCTCTGACTGGCCATCCTCCTGCCTCAGCCTCCTGAGCCGCTGGGATGACAGGCGTGCGCCACTGCGTCCGGCTTCAGGGTAAGTTTTGGGGAACATGCTGGCTCCTGGGAACCRAAAGGGAAGGACTCACACGGAGGTACTCTAGTGAGGAAGGAGAAGCATGGGAGCAGGTCAGAACTCACCCAAGAGGGGAAAACAGGAAGCCAAAGATGGCCTAGACAACTTGTCTTCATGTGTGGGAAGAGAGTAATTCTTACCACCGTTTTTATGACAGGATTAAATAATAGTCCACAAATGCTGTAAGGCCAAGCCACACCACGATCTAATAGAAATAAGTACAAATAACAACTGCCCTGTGCCAGACACCACTTACTGACTGCTAAGGGTGTRTCAGCAGCAGACTAAGCCTTTTTGTGAATTGTCCTCTTACTTCCTAACACAATAGGGAGTGTTTATCGAGCACTTGCTAAGTGCTAGGCTCTATGCTAAGTATTTTCATGTGCATTAATAAGGAATATAATTAAGACAGTGATGCCAGGCACAGTCCTAAGTACTTTCTACACATTCACTTGATTTAATATCACTGTTCCTCTGAAGTTCAGTGGTCCCCCACATCATCTGGGATTGGTTCTAGGACTTCTGTGGATACCAGAATCTATAGATGCTCAAGTCCCTTATATAAAATGCACAGTATTTGCATGTAACCTACACACACTTTCAGCAATCTTTAAATCATCTCTAGATTCYTTAGAATACCTAAAACAGTGCAAATGTCATGGAAATAATTGTCAGAATGTGTTTTTGAGGATGACATGGAAAAAGTCTTACATGTTTAGTATATATGCAAATTTTTCTCTGAAAAGGTTCCATCTGTGGTTGGTTGACTTCATAGATTCAGAGCCTGGAGCTATGGAGGGCTGACTGCATATGCTCTTTTTTTTTTGTACTGGGGAATGAACCCAGGAGCACTTAACCACCAAGCCACATCCCCAGCCCTTTTTATTTTTTCTTTGGAGACAGGGTCTTCTAAGTTGCTGAGGCTGGCTTTGAACTCACATTCCTCCTGCCTCAGCCTCCTGACTACACCCAACTTGCCCAATACCACGCTTAGAGSACAGCATGGCACCCAGACAGTCGATGCTTCTCCCAGGGTTACAACCACTGCAACAGGCTGTATATGCTGTCTTAACCCCTGGTTTACAGATGAGGAAACTGTGGCCCTGAGATTTAAACAAYGCAGGGTTAGGAAGGGGCAGAGTGGGGTTCAGATCTCAGAAGTCTGAACTCCTAGTTACACCCTTTCCAYCAACTGGCCAGCTGGGGAAGTTTCTCTCACAACCCTCACCCGTGGCAACTAAGGGTCAGAGAAGCCAAGCGACTTGCCCACAGTCATACAGCTGGTCAGAGAACCTGACCCCAGGTGTGAGGGCAATCCCATGCCCTCAGGCACTCTGCAGGCCACAGCCTCTGCTGCCTTCCTCTGACATTGGGCCGCAGAGCCTCCACCCATGAGCTGCAGGAGCCCTCTGTGGGAGGCGGAGGCTAACAGCAGTGTCCCCAGGGACTCACCTAGCTTATGCTGGAAGCACACCTTGGCCAGGAGGATCAGGATGAAGGGCAGCCCYTTCTGCAGCCAGCAGATCACAGCCTTCAGCTCGGACAGGGCAGGGGCCGGCGTCCCKGGCTGCTCATCGCCACCTTCCTCGGGGTGCCCGCGGTGGTCGCCGCCCACGTGCTGCAGCAGGGAGCCGCCGCGGTGGCCTCCATGGTGGAAGTGGTGGTGCGGYGGGCGGTGGTGGTAGGTGCCCCCCTCGCTGCCCCGACTGCCGCCTTCCTCCCTGGACGCGGGCATCTGGATGAAGACGTCGCCGCCGCCGGCTGCGGGCCCGAGCACCAGGCTGGCGGGGAAGGGGCTGGCGGGGAGGCCGCTGGCCAGGCCCGAGAAGAGCGCGGGCGGCGAGGCCGGCTCGGCCTTCAGGCTCTCGAACACGCCGCCCTCATCCACGCTGGCCTCGGGGCTGAGCGCCTGGCTGCGGCTTCTGTGCGACAAGGTGGTGTGTGGTCTGACTGTGGCCAGCAGGTCCCCCAAGTCCTGCTGGAGCGCCGTCCCCTGGGGAGCTACTAAGAGGACAAAGCCAGCCCCACCCCGGGGTGCAGAGGGGAGCCCCACCCCGGGGTGCAGAGGGGAGCCCCACCTCGGGGTGCAGAGGGGAGCCCCTGGGAGGTGAGCAGGGCCATGTGAGGTCAGCAGGGAGAAGTCCCTACGATGGGATCCTGCTGGCTTTATAAGAGGGGCAGGGACCACAGGACACATGCCAATACCGTTATGGACCCAACGGTGTCTTCCCATGGAGTTAAAACGAGGTCATTAGGGTGGACCCTAATCCAGCASGACTGGTGTCCTTTTAAGAAGAGGCACTTAGGACACAGTCACCCACAGGTGGGGACACAGCAAGAAGGCAGCCACTATGCGARGCGCCAAGGAAAGACTTGGGAAGAAATGAACCCTGAGCACCTTGACCTTGACCTTCCAGCCTTCAGCACTGGGAGAAACCTCCACTGTTGAAGCCACCTGTGGCCCCCTGCGCAAGCTCACCCAAATAAATACAAACAGTMACAACAACAGGGTCAGAACCTTTACTGCACACTCTATGTGTTGGACAGTTTTTTTTTTWAAAACAATACCTTTATTTTAATTATTTTATAAGTGGTGCTGAGGATCGAACCCAGGGCCTCMAACGTGCTAGGCASAGCGCTCTACCACTGAGCTACAACCCCAGCCTTGCTCAGTTTTTTTAATGTGTTACATTGATCAACTCATTAAATCTCCCTCTCCACCCTGAATTGGTGCTGATAACATCCCCATTTCACAGATCAGGAAACTGAGACACATGGATTATTTGTCCAGAGTCACATGGCTGCTAAGGGGTCGGTCTGGCAGGGGGATTTGGACCCAGGCAGAYTAACTCCAAAGCTCGTTTTCTTAACTGTTCTGCTTCACTGAAAAGCAAGCACAGAATTGTATAAACTCCAGGCCCTGGCTCTGGAGCTTCCCAAAGGGTCAACCTTGGTCAGAGCTGGTATTTGGTGGGCAGCTAAGAGTCAAGGGAAGACAACTCAAGACGGACCCACATTGGAACCCGGACTTCATCTCTCCCAGGGCATTATGATTCTGTACTCAGTTTCCGTGCTAGAAAAATGGGCACAAGTTCCATTCATGTCCAGCATTCCTGGGGAGGAGTATCAAATTTAAAACATCCATTGCAATGAACTTGGACTGCATTAAGTGCTCAGAGCAGGGAAACTGTTCTCTCTAGGCCTCTGGAGATCTCCAGGGCCAAATTTCCTTTTCTAGTTCCAAGCACAGGCTTCTGGGGTTGGAATGAGGCAAAGGATTTGGTGGCTTTTTCGGAGCCATTGCCAAAGAGCAGAGAGCCCAGAGTGACCCCTCCAGGAATGGGGAGCCCAGAAGGGACAGCAGTTTCCCATGAACACTGTGCCCTGGAGTTCTGGAGGCCCCCATCCTTCTCTCAGGCTATGTGGACTCGGGTCACACCACAGACACGAGGGGAGGACAGGCTCAATGTGTATGTGCGGGGGAGGAAGGGGTGGGCACAGAGCCTCCCCGCCTCCCTCCCCTTTATGTCCCCRAAGTAGGTGTGGCAGGCTCCTCCTCAGAACCCCAAGGGTCTCCAGAAACATCAGGAGCCGCTTAAAGGAAAAGCCGAATTGCATCCATCCTCTGGACCTCATGACCCAGGGCATACAGTAGGTGCTTAACAAACACATACAAGCTATCATTCAGTCATGCCTTAGCCATACAATGGAGGCTATGGGGAGTTGACAGCTGCTCTCACACTTGACCTCTATGGATTCTCTGCTCATTCCACATATATTTGATGACTTCACTATCCTATAAAAATCTTATCTAAAGGCTTCTCAGCTTACACTTCCCATTCTCAGATAAATCCTAAAGATAGTACTGACAGCATCTCCATTTTACAGATAAAGAAACTAAGGCTCAGAGAGATGAACTTGCCTGGCCTCAGATTCCAAGGTCATGACACCCTTCTTCCTTGCTACTTAGGGGCTTCCCGCCTACGCCGTCACCCCACTCCATCCCATCCCGGCTGCCGACGCTCATCCATGAGATTCCAGCTGAAATCTCTCTTCCTTGGTGGGGTCTCCCTGCCTCCCCCAAAATGCCTGCACCTGCTTCTGGTTCTCAGGTACCTAACCTCCCCTGCCCAGGACCCGTCAATCATCAATGTATTGGGTATCTTTCCTGGAGACTTGTGGCCCTCAATCCTGGCTGCCCCTTATAATCTCTTGGGAGAGCTTTTGATAAATAAAGGTGCCCCAGCCCCCCCCCCCGTAGACTAATTCAAACGAAATCTTGGGGGTAGGCCCCAGCACCTCAAGTTCTGGAATCCCCCAGTGAATTCTAGCATGCAGTCAGTACTTTAGACTGGGCATGCTCCATAGGGTCAAGGACCATGACTGTTTCTCTACCACACATCACAGGTGCACTAGCACATAGAATATGCTCAATAAATGCTGCTTTAAAAAGAAAATGAATAGCTGCATGCTAAGGTGCCTGTAATTCCAGCTACTACGAAGGCTGAGGCAGGAGGATCAGAAGTTCAAGAGCAGCTTCAACAACTTAGCGARACCCTGCTTTAAAAACAAAAAAATATAAAAAGGGCTGGGGATATAGCTCAGTGGTAGAGTACCCCAGGTTCAATCTCTAATGAAAAATAAAGAAAGAAAAGAAAAAAGAAATGCATGATCCCACTAAAATCTCTGAAAAGGTCTGCAATCGAAAAAAGAATTGACTCTATTTAAGCCTGCTGGTTCCCACAGAATTCCTTCTGTGCTTTTGAGACAAGGTCTTGCTCCGTTTCCCAGGTTGGCCCTAAGCTCCCAATTCCCTTGCCTCAGCCTCCCAAGTAACCAGTAAACAACTGTTTGTGCCCCATGCCCAGCTCACAGAATTCTTTTTATCCATGGAAAACCTATGAATGTCTTGCAGAAAGTTTGTTAAACACAGCAGGGGACATGCTGGTCTGGAGAAGTCTCAGGGTTGGTCTCTTTGGCTTTACAAACTGAACCTGAGGAGGTACATTCTCAGCAGCCTGGCACAACCTCCCCCTTTCCCCCCTTGCTCCTTCTCCATCAACTCCCAAAGCCTGGGAAATGTGTGTCCTCCCCCTCCAGGGCTCTGGGTAATAATCATGATAATATTAATAATGACAACAATAACAGACACCATGGCTATGAGTCTCGAGGGTCAAGAGCTTTTTCTGAACTCCAAGAAGCTGAGCTCAGAAAGCACAAGTCCTAAAAAAAGAAAGCACAAATCCTGGCAGCGGCCACACTGGCCCATGTGAATACCTGCACTGCCCCACGGGGCTCTAGAAAGCCCTCCTGCTCCTCCAAGCCCTGAGTTCATGGCACTCTGGCACAACCAACAAGACTCAATCCACCAAGAGCTTTTTATAGTTGGTCCCCCTTCCCTGAGCCTCTCCCGGATGGCCAGCTGGGATTTCATCCTAAATGGGAAAGACTATTCCTTGGGGAGACACAGAGGCTGCACTTCCAACTTAACCACTTAAGGTCTGGACCTGTGGCATCCCAGAACAAGTAGAGCTGCTCAGACAGGAAGCACTCAAAAATGTGGCATCTCAAAGCACACAGTCTGGAAGACAAATAGACTGAGACCCAAATCCACTTCCTGGTCATTGACTTCAGGTGACTGACTTCCCCTGGATATACCTGTTTCCTCATCTGTAAAATGGACACAGAAACAACCCTGACCTCAATAGGCTAGCAAGAGGGTAGTGGGGACAGTCACTACTTGGTGGCCATTATTTTTCTGCTATGGTCTCTGCCCTAAAAGATATCATGGTCCACTTGGGAGCAGAAGGCAAAGCTGCCTTCAGGGAGTGGAAGGCTCCAACGGACTTGCTTCTTACAAGCTAGATATATTTGTGCATTTTCACACTCATCCCTTATTTATAAGCAACTCTGAGTTTTATCATGTGCCATCTGCTGATGCAAAATTTGAGACGTAGGGGTGAGGTCACTTGCCAGAGGCACCATGGGAGATGTCCTTGTCTGTTTTCTGTTGCTATAACAAAATGCCTGAGACTGRGTAATTTATAAAAAATAGAGGTTTATCTGGCATACAGTTCTGGAGGCTGGAAGTCCACAAGCACAGGGTTGCTTCTGGTAAGGGCCCTCATACTGCATCATCACAAGGGGGAGGGCATCCCATGGAAGTAAGTGCGTGGGCCCAGCTCTCTCTTCCTCTTGTTATAAAGCCTCTAATGCCACCATGAGAGCCCCACCCTGAGGACTTTAATCCTAATGACCTCCCAAAGCCCCCACCTCCAAATCCTATCAACATCTGACTCTGGGATGATGTTTTCAACTCGTGGATTCTGGGGACACACAAYCCGGAACCATAGCAGGTGGGAAGTGATTGAGCTGGGTTTTTGGCCAAGGGTTGACTGCCCGGTAGCCAGCGAGCGACCTTCCTGCAGAGCAGGCAGCTTCATCCCAACCTTGGTCCCAGAGCTGGGCCTGGACTGATGGATACGACTTGTGATTTTGGAACCCACCTGAGTCACAGGGGACCGACAGTGGGATGTGAGGGCAGAAAAGCCTGGCTGTCTGCTCCACGGACAAGGAGGTCTGGACTGGGATGTCATTGCACCCTGAAAACAGGTCCCCATGGGGTRCACTCTCTTGGATTTAAACAGACAGCCATTCTAGGTGATGAGCACTCTAACTGTGTGTATGGGTTCCCTCTGTCGTGATCTACTTGGCATCTGTGAATCATAGCCACACAAGGGACCAGAGTTGTTCACATCTCGCCTGCAAYCTGGGGCTAGCCCGCCTCCGACTTTTTAACCCTCACGCGTACAAGCCAGTGTTTTCTCTGCCCTAAGTGACCCAGCGTCGGACAGCAAACAACTAGAGACCGCTCTACAGCCCGGAGCCCACGGACACCATTCAAACCACCGACGGCAAGCTGTTTCCCTGCTTGGATTTTCCTGCAGAAAACAGAGTAAAGACAATGGCCGGTGCCCCGCTCTGCCTGTGACCCAGTCAGTGCTTCCCCACATGGCCCTGAGTGCCCCTCCTGTCAGGAAACCTAAGTGATGAAGAGCCTCCTTCACGGTCGTTGGCCTCTCCGTGTGGGTTCTCGTGTGTCCTCTGAATGTTTCTGTCTCCTCCAGATTCAAGTGTGGAAATCCCGACCCCCTGAGTGATGGTCCTAGGGTGTGGGGCCTTTGAAGATGAGTGTGCCATGATGATGGGGTTCATGCCCCAGGACAAAGGCCACAGAGAGATCCCTGCCCCTTCTACTCTATGGACATGCCCCCAACCAAAAAAAGAGCCCATCTCTCCAGCAGGAAGCAAGCTCTCGCCAGAATCTGCTGTCACCTTGATCTTGGATTTCCCTGCTTCCAGAACTGTGAAACATAAATGCTTGCTGTGTAAGCTCCCCCGCCTGGGGTATTTTTGTTACAGCAGCCTGAATAGACTAAGGCATCTCTATAAATTAAAACTCCATGGGCTGGCACAGTGGTGCATGCCTATAATTCCAGGGGCTCAGGAGGCTGAGGCAGGAGGATGGTGAGTTCAAAGCCAGCCTCAGCAGCTTAGCAAGGCCCTAAGCAACTCAGGGAGACCCTGTCTCTGAGCAAAATACAATAACGGGCTGGGGACGTGGCTCCGTGGTTAAGTGCCCCCRTTCAATCCCCAGGACCCCTCCCCAGAGAAAACAAACAAACACACTCCATGGGTACAATCATTGCTAAAATGAGTCAAGTAGCTCATCTAACACAGGGTTTGAAAATGACCATAAAAGTGAGAGCAAGCTCTTATGGGATGGGTATTTAGTATAAAGCCATCACTGTGTGCTATGGTTTAGGTATAAAATGAGTGTTCCTCTAAAGTCCATATGTAAAGACTTGGTCCCAGTGGTGGTGGTACTGGGAGGTACTGTGGACCTTTAAGAGGTGGGGCCTGATCAGAGGTCCTTAGGTGCTTGGGGGTGTTCCATTGAAGGGGACCATGGGAACCCAGTCTCTTTCTCTCAGGTATTTTCAGACGTACTCGCTTGTTCCCACACATGGAGCCACCATTGCCAGCCATGCCATGAGGTGATGAGGCCAAGAGGTGGTGCTGAGCCTGGGCTGTGCCATTGAGATTCTCAGCCTCCAAATCTGTGAGCTAAATAAACCTTTTCTCTTTGTGAAGTTATCTGCCTCAAGTATTTTGTTGTAGGAATGCAAAGGTGACACTCTTCAGACTAGGTTCCAACTGGGTCTCCTTTGTGACTCTAACAATTACCTCCAAGAGGCAGATCTTTTCAATCCAGTTTTGGACTGTCCTTCATTACTCAAAGCCCGGAGCCTTTGGGTGCAACAAAACCCGGGGCCACCTACCTTTCGGGYGGGATGGTGTCTGTGTTGCTGCTGTGCCGCCTCTGCATCTTCCTTAACACCTGGAAGCCAACACAGGAGTGAGCCAAGCCTCCCACACGCCTCGCACCTTTCAGGTCACCACAGCAACCCTCAGCCAGTCCCACCTGTATCCTGCATCCCTAGAGCCCTCTGACCTTTTTCAAACTTTGTTTCTTTTTGTGGCCACTTGATCCTCAGTTCAACATTTATCTCTGCAGGAAGAATGATCACATTTTGCGGATGAAGATGTTGGGACATAGAGGTGGAGGAGGTTCTCACGGGGAAGGAGACGGGAAGGAAGAGAGGTGTCGGGTGTGGTGAAGGGAGCAGTGGACAGGGAGTCAGGGGATGGGTGAGTGTCCCTAACTGGCTGTGTGACCTTAGGCAAATCAGTAACCGCTTTCTGGCTCCAGATTCCCCATCGGTTCCACGGGTGGAGTGGAGTGGCCGAACACCAAGCTTCCTGCCATCCCTCGCATTTACTGAAGCAGTAATGAAGGTTGGATTCTGATGGAGACACGTCACCTGGTTCACCGTGAGGAACCACATGGACTTCAGACCTCCATGGTGACGACGGCTGAGGTGGATATTCAGGGCTCCTGGTGGGGATGCGACCACTGGATCCGAGAGAAAGCAGGCCTTCCCTTCCTTTTCCTCTCCAGAGGGACACACAGGTTAGGGAACTAATCAGACTCCAAACCCTGGAGGCACAGAACGCTTGGGTAAATAATTCACATATAGTCCAGTAGACGATAATTCTCATGACATCAGGGCTAACTGTACCCATCTACTTATTATCTCTGGGTGGCTCCTTATGGATCTCTCCTTGAGTCTCTCTAGAACAATTATGATCTGAATGTATTTTGTCCTGTTGACAAAAGAGGAGCCCTTCTGATTGGGGAATTCAGAAAATATGGCTTCCCACTGAATCCAGAATAAAACCCAAAGCTCTGYTCACAGCCTACAGGTTCTGCCTGACATAGCATCACACACTGCTAACCTCATTTTCTTCCACGCTCCCTTCTATGATGCACCTCCAGCCTCACTGGTCTTGCTGTTCCTCCAACATGTCTGCTGGTCCCTGCCTCAGGGCCTTTGAACTGGCTGTTCCYTTTCTCTGGAATGCTTTTCCCTCTGTATGTTGAAAAGCTAGCTCCCTCAGGTCAAAAGTCACCTGGGGGGGCCTTCTCTGTTCACCCCTGATTCCTCCCACCATTGCACTGTTTTATTTTCTCCATAGCACTTAACAGTTATTTACATGTACATTAGTTAATTTTTGATCTCTCCCCTATTAGAATGTAAATTCCACAAAAACAGGAATCCTGTGCACCTGGKTTGTCCCTTTATCTCTGCATCTAGAGTGCTGCTGGTCACAGAGAACACTCTGCAAATATTTATTCAATAGATAAAACACCATGAGTCTCCCACTTACCTTTTTCTAGATCCCTTGCTCACTGTCTCACCTCTCACATAACAGAAGAAAACATTGTGGTACATTTTCCAYGAATAGGTTTGGCCTCTTGAAATATTTTCCTGTCCAGGACCACAGATGGTCCCAACTCTTAGTTCAGGGCACCATAACTGGCTGTTGAATGACTTCCTACTCCTGACCAGGCTTCTTAGRGCCATAGAATAGACAACGCTTTTCCTTTTCCTTTCAGAACACTAGTTAAGAAATGGGTCAGCAGCACCATCTTTATGTATAAAGGAAAGATCATTACATATATATTTTCCTCAGAATTTGCAATCTTGCTTAATAACTTAGCTTCAACCTTCTATCTGCCATCACTTGCAAATAAATCCTTGGAGAAAATAAAATACAGCATTCCAAGGTTTCTAACCACAAATTTGGCACAACCTCCTAAATCGARTGCCCAACACTACTTTCAGATGCTTGCTTTTGAAGGGTCTTCAGATTCTGTGTTGGACGCAGGCCATACATAATTATTTCAACATTGAATTCTGGAATAAATTTTTGCACCTAAATAATTGAATGAAACGCCTTTTAACCCTCTGCTCCATGCATAGGTCTAGCTCCCTATGAAGGACCACACTGAGACTTTTCCGGCCGTTACTAGGCTGCCCCGAAGTGCCCGCAAGGGAGCATCTCCTGCATCCCTTGCACTGGAAGAGGGCAGGTGCACTTTGGATACAATGTCGCCATCGCTTCTCATTCCAACAACCCCATGCACAGCGGAAAACACTCTTAAGACTCCAAGGGCTTCACAGACCACGCGGGGGGCGGGGGGAGCCGCGTACTCTTTTTTACCTGCCCAGACAATTCAGCAATCACAGCCGCATCATTCACATCCAGCCAAGCCAATCACTCGCCGGTCCTGTGCGTCACGTGACTTCCGAGTACTTCCGGCCTCTGRTTAGGTTCTGTCTCAGGTTCCCAAAGCCGGACACTAGGATCCCCGCACAGTTTCACAGTCCCACGCGATTGCCCGCCCCCTTCTCCCAGCTTCAGCCAATAGGAGGCCGTCTCTTCTCAGGAACCAATGACGAGACGGCCTTGAGGGGCCGACCGGTGACGCAAGCGGAGCGGAGGCGGGGCGTGCGCCGGGGTCACGTGGTGCGACGCGCGCCGGCTGCCGGGAGCTGGCTGGGCCGCGGACCGCGGGGCCGGGGTTGCGGCTAGGGGTCTGGCCGCCCGGTGTGTAGGGGCCATGCCGCCGGGTCCCCGGGCCTGCTTTGCTCCGCTCCCCGGCCGCCGCGCCCCGCGTCCCCGCCGGGATGGTGAACCTGGCGGCCATGGTGTGGCGCCGGCTCCTGCGGAAGAGGTGGGTGCTGGCCCTGGTCTTCGGGCTCTCGCTGGTCTACTTCCTCAGCAGCACCCTCAAGCAGGTCAGTGCCCGCCCGCCCGCGCGTCCTCGCTCCCGGCCGCCGGGTTTCTGCGTCTCGGGGTCGCGAGAGGTGGGCGAACCTGCCCCGAGTCTCCGGGCGGGCCAAGGGTCCTGCCGGTTCCGCTGGTGCGTGGGGCGGAAAGGGGGTGCTGGACCGGGGCCGAGCGGGGACTCGAACCCACCGCGGTGGGCTCTCCGGGGCGCCTGTGTCCTTGATTGGCACCTGGATGCTCCTCACCTGGCAGTCCAGGCCTGCGGGGGCGGGGGGGGGCGTGCCTTTCCTCACGGGATTCCCAGCGGTCCAGGGAGAGGTGGGCGTCCCCGCTTTACAGCCAGGGAAACCGAGACACGAAGGGTTGGTGGTGGYCGGGCCAGGCAGTGGTCAGGTGCGAGGCCAGCGCTGGCGTGCCTGCTCTCGGTTTAATCATGCGGCTGGGTGTTGCGTGCTGAGGCCACCTGRGTGACTGGACGGAACTCCTTTCTGTGCACGACTTGGTTAGGTGGAGTTTTCTTTTCATTCCYCCTTTCGGTTTTTCTTCCACATGAGACTTTCTGGAGAGCAATGGCAGCGAGCATTAGTGGGAAATGTTACACGGAGTTTGATTAGAAGTCCAACTTGAACGCTTGAGTTTCAAGGAAGGGTGAGCATATCCCAAGATGTGCCAGGGACATTCTTTTGGTGAGGCGGTTGTCCTGATGTAGTTAAGAGCCTGTCTTTCCACTCTCAAACGTCAAATTCATAAATTAGTGCATAAATGCAAACTATGTTGCCCTAGTTTTGGTGGATGGGCAGGGAAGCCAGGAAAAGGGAAGATAGGGAATTGTATCCTGCCTCCCCCTTTAGAGAACAGAAATGTTGCAAGTGTCTTGTTGGCCGGGATGTGTGGTGACCGTGAACGGCTGGGCTTCTGTGACTTATGCTTTCTGGTACCTCTGGACACTTTCCAATCATGTGTTGCTTCTTCTCCGAACGGTTTGGACTTGTGAGTGTTGTGTGCCAGGACTTAGTCCTCTGGCTTCCTCTCTATCTGACCCAGGTGATCTCTAGCACCATTGTTTACCAGCTGTATGCCGATTTCCCAAATGATAACTCGAGTCTAGACCTGTCCAGAAAATCCCAGATTCTTCTGTGTAATGGCCTACTTTATTTTTTTTTCCAAAAATTTTTGTGATAATCATAAATTTCACTTTTTAAGCCACTATTAAGTGTACAGTTCAGAGATAATAAATGTATTTGTCATGTGTAGTCTTTGCCATCATCCATCCCCATAATTTTCTTCATCATGTGAAAAAACAAACGACACCTGTAACAATAACATCTCAGTCCCTCTTTTTTTCTAGCCCCTGGCAGCCACCCTTCTACTTGACAGCTCTTCCTGATKGTAGTGTAGGCTTCTCACACTTGGCCGAAACAGAACTCTGGATTCTCTTCTGCCAGTGTTTGTTCCTCCCCAGTCTTCCCAGTCTCACAGAAAGGCATTACTATGCACCAGGTGGTCCAAGCTCAGACATTTCTTTTCTGACATTTCCTACATCCAGGATATTGGCTCTGTCTCTGCCATGTGGCCTGAACCTGTTCATTTCTCCTAGTTGTCACTCTAGGTCAAGCATCTGTCATCTTTTGCCTGGACTATTGCAGTAGCCCACCAGGTCTCGGCTTCCTTTCTTGTCTCAGGATCTGTTCTGTACCCAGCAGCAGGGGTGATAATCTTTAAGAAGATCAGATCATGTTACTCTCCCACGTGTAATTCTGTCTGCTCCTGTTAACAGGCAGATAAAACCCCAGATTCCATTCTGGAGTTGTGTCATTGAATCTTTTCTGTCGTTTCAAGTCAGGCTAACTCTTCATACTTGGTTACTTAGGCCATACATACGTGGTGACCCAGTACTCCTTGCCCATAAGCTTTATTTATTTATTTATTTTTTTGGTAGGAATCACCAATGGAACATTTCTTGTTCATTTACTTGTTTGTCTGTCTTGCCTCACTCACTGTTTTCAAATGTAATTTCTTTGAGAATAAGGACCTCATGTGTCTTGTTGGAGACCTTCCAGCCCCTGGAATACTGCCAGGCACTTGGTGAGAACCCAAATACTGGTTGAGCAAAGTGTCTTTGTACTTGGGATGGCRTTTGCTTTCTCCTCAGGCTTGCATACTCCTGATTTCCATGTCCTGTCTCAGATGCTGTTTCTTCCCTATAAACCTAAGTATCTCAGGGCACCATCTTCTTTATTATTATTTTTTATTACAGTGTCTTTGTTTCTTACTTGTGATCTGTGACTATAAGTGGGTTTTGGGGGGTGGGAACAAAGGCATGACTGAAGGCTTTGTAACTCTTGGTAGAATTTTTGCCTTGTAAATTTCTTTGGGTCTAATTTCTCAAAACATAAGAAGCCCTGATCTGTTGTCTGCCTGTGTTAAATCATTGCTGTGATCCGTCCTTTCTCCCATTAGGTGGCTGAACTCTGTAAAGAGGGCATTGAACCAAAGGCAGGGCTCGTTACCACATGATGGGGGCTCAGAGGACTTGTGAGTCTCGATCCAGGCTGTGGCAGCAGAGTACCATGGACAGGGTGGCTTGAATAACACATCCTTGTCCTGGAGGCTGGGAAGTCTGAGGCTTCCACCTGTGCTGATGTAGTTTGTGTCTGGTGGGGACCTCGTGTTGTGGAGAGCTCTGGCCCCTTCCTCTCCCAACAAGGCCATCAATCCCATCACAGCTGCATCACCCTTGTGACCTCCCAGAGGCCCTCCTCTAAATACGGATGTCACTTCCCCTGCTATCACATTGAGGACGAATACATTAGCATAGGGCTTTTGGGGGAAGCATCCAGTTCCTAGTACAGGGTGACTGCATGGATCAGCTGTTCATAAGCTAGCCCTGGTGGCCTGTCAGATGCTGCTCCATCTTGCTTCCCCCTCAGTAACACAGGCCTTGGAAGGGAGTGCATAGGGCCATCCTGTTGGGTTATGTGGATGTACGTAATGAGGTGGAGCGCACCTCCCCTGCAGTTTGATGCGTGAGAGGTGGTGCTCACGTTTTCATTTTATGTTGATAGGAGCAATACGTTGTATACACTCAGGCCTCGGGGACTGCCTTTCTAGGAGCAACTAGTTGATGTCTTTTATCTGCACCATTTTTCATGTTTAAATCTTTGTTTGTTTTGGAATTTATTTTTACATAGAATGTTATTTTGCCTTAAGTTCCCCTTACTACTGGAAAAGTTAAACATCATACTGGTGATTCTACAGCTCCCCTCCCTATTGTGCCTTATATTCTTTGACCATTTTACTCGTGGGTGTCTTTCTTTCTACTTTATAGGAATTCTGTGTGGCTGGGATTATTCCTTTGTGCAGGTGCAGGAATCTCATGCAGGGCTGCCTGGTTTTAAAGTTCACATTCTTAATTGATAACATTGTGACAGAACAGCTAACTTGCAGTATTTGCACAGTAGAGTTTAAAAATATATGAAATTTCAAATAAATTTCTTCTCTGGCTTCTTTTGAAAAATCAGGAGATTTGTTAGCACTAGATCTACTGGCAACAGTCAGTCTGGAGAAATCAAAGCAGATCTGCACCCACAGATTGTGGGCTGTATTCTTTCCTCTAGGCTGCTCACCGGCATGTCATTTCCTGGCCTCCTGTGGCAGACATCAGCATGAGACAGCTGCTTTACCCTTGTGACCTCCCAGAGGCCCTCCTCTAAATACGGATGTCACTTCCCCTGCTATCACAATGAGGATGAATACATTAGCATGGGGCTTTGGGGGGAAGCATCCAGTTCCTAGTATGGGGTGACTCCATGGATCAGCTGTTCATAAGCTGGCCCTGGTGGCCTGTCAGATGCTGCTCCATCTTGCTTCCTCCTCAGTAACACAGGCCTTGGAAGGGAGTGCATAGGGCCATCCTGTTCCGTTATGTGGATATCATAATGAGGTGGAGCGCACCTCCCCTGCATCAGGGGTGTTCACAAGCCGTAGCTCGGTCTTCACCTGGGCGCGGGTGGGATCGCCTCTTCTACCCCCTTTGAAGGTAGCAGTGGCCACGTGGCTGGCTTTTTTTCCTCCAGTGTTAACTGTCCTTTCCAGGTGACTTTTGGATACTGCCCCCCCACCCCCCTGCTGCAGTGAGCCAGGAGTCTGCATGTTGAGGGGGCCCTGCTGCCTGAGAAACAGGATGAGTAGAGCCCCTGACTCACCTGTGTGAGACTTGTACCATGAGCAAGAGGTGATCCTTCCTGTTGAGCCACTGAGGTTTAGACTTTAGAGAAACCTGGTCCAGCAGTTTCCAGAATGTGGTCTGTGAACGCTGGAGGGTTCCTGAGAATCATTTTCAAAATAGCCCTAACATGCTTTTTTCACAGTGCTGACCCTTGAACTGATGGAGCAAAAGGAATGGTGGGTAAAACTAGTATCTGAGCCCGACCACAGCCGTGGCGCCACATTAGCCTAGTAGCCGTGGCATTCCTCACTGTCACGCCTGTGGTTGAGAGCCTTATTTCCCCTAAGACTGCACAGTGAGCATCATGAGTTTTGCTGATCGTTGATCAATCTTGCTCTTCAGTACCTGTCGTTCTGCCTGACAGGAAGGGAGATCCCTCACCCAGCAGTCCTCTGCGGCTAAAGTGTGGCTATTTGAAGGAGGGTACTTGGCAACCGAGTTGCGAGCTGAACTAGTTATTGTTTTCAGGGAACACCATTTTCACCTGAAACAATGAGCCGTGCATTGTAGTTATTCAGATGGGGTATTTGATAGACAGTTTCTTGAAAACCAATAAAGCGAGCCTGTTACTTCACAGAAAACATCTGATGTTATTTGTTGCCAAAGATAAAATTCAAACTTTCAAGTGAAAATTAGAATTTTGGGAAACATGTTTGTGCCATCCTGAGCTTGATGACTTCCTAACACTTAAGGAACTATTCCATTTGGTCACTGGTGATATTAACAAATGTGACCTTTTTGATATGTATACGAAAATGTTGTCAGCATTTGGAAGATCTG